TTGTGGCTTTAGTAAGAGCTCCCCCCCCTGAGTTTTGCCCCCCCCCCCCCCTTGATGTAACACACAGCCATGACATGTTTAGTTTTCAATAATTTGGGGTACAGTTCCCCCCAAACCCTTGCACCGATATACTTGAAACTTGGCAGGTTTTATGCTCTCAGCAGAGGCTACCATCCGTGCAAGTTTCACCCAAATCGGACAAGAAACAACAAAGTTATAGATATTTCATTGATTCCCCCTTACACCCTATGGCCAGATCTCTGAGGTGGTGATGAAGCTTCGGAGCCACTTCGGCCGGATCGTCCGGAGCTCTGGATTGGATCGGATCGGATCACAGCCATCCGAAGCAGCCGGATCCGAAGCCAGATCGGATCACTGCCGACTTGCACAGGCCTACAAGGCATATCTGGAGAAACGCATTAACTTCAAATAACCTTCTGCAGCCTTACCTAGCTGAAATAAAATTACAATCTGTTCCCCTAATCACACTTTCTCAGTACTTGGGTGTAGCTAGGGGCACCTTGCTCTCCAAATCCACACTTTGTTGTCTTCCACAGAAAACTCTGATTCCGCAATCTTTATGCAGAACTTCTCTGAAGAGAAATATGTTTGATTCTAAAGGTAATGATAAGAAGAGGCTGCTTTTCCCATAGCTGCTTTTGCTTCAGGAGAGATGGTAACAGATGAGTAGTTTTACTCTTTATCTCACACCTGTCGTAAAACCTCCCTCTTCTACTCATTTGTTATAGGAAGCACCTGCTCTTCCCTACAACCTGTATAGAGAGTTTCCGTTGGGGAAAATGAATTTCCTTGAGCCATAATGTGTGTAAAAATAGTAAAAGTTTACATTAAGTGAGCAAAGAGGCTTCTCTAGCCATGGCAGTTTTCTGCAATATCTTAGAACAGCATGAATCTTCACAGATAATTCAGGCAATGAATTTGATCTTTCAGCTTTCCCTAAATCAGTTAGCAAATAACAGATTTCATTTTTCAGATCAGCTGGACAGATGCATCAATCAGTCATCCCATTTACCACCACTGCTTATGTGATGGTACCACCACTGCTTATGTGAACTGGATGTGTGAATTATTTGCTTAACTGCATAGCACAAGGTCAGTCCCCACTTGTTGCCTATTGCCTACATTGTGGTGTATTTTGGTTATTGGCATCTCAGGCAGTGCAGAGAGGAGGATGTGAAACAATAGCTTGAAGTTGCAGCAAAGTAAGTTTAGATTGGATATCTGGAAAAACTTCTTCACTGTTGGAACAGTGAAGCAGACTGCCTAGTAGGGCTGTGCAAAACAGCACCATTCTGCTTGGACTTCTGTTTCAACATTTTGATGGAACAACGTTTTGTTTCGAGTTTCATTTCATTTTGAAAGCACCGTTCCATTTTGTTTCATCAAAACAGCGAAACTGTTTTGACGCTTTGACAGGCTATAATGGGGAAGCACAAAACTGGAGGAGAGGCAGCCTCCTGTGACTGCAGGCAGATCGGGGCCCGCACCCCCAGGAGGAGTTCAATAAAGCCCTGCAGCCCTCCTGGGGATGCTGGCGGGAGGCTGCCGCCTGGCACCAGAGCTAGGAGCTGAGCCCAGTGGAGGGAGGGGGAGCACAGGCCCAGTGTTGCACCCTGCTTCCCTCCACTGGGCTGCAAGCTGCTGAGCACTGGGCCCGGTGGAGGGAGTCAGGGTGCAGTGCTGGCTCTGCCCACCTCCCACCACCAGGCTGAGCTCCATGGGGCTGGCGGAGCCGATCAGAGCACAGCCCGGCGGTGAGAGGTGGGCCGAGCCAGTGCTGCCAGCCCCCAGGGGCACAGCCTGGTGGAGGGAGGTGGAGAGAAGCAGGGCTGTGCTCCTCACCAGGCTGAGTCACATGGGACTGCGAAGCCACTTGGAGCATAGCCCTGGCTCTCCCCTGCCTCCCACCACCTGGCTGCTGCTTCAAAACTTGAAATGTTTCAAAACTTTTTAACTGCTTTGACTGCCCTTTTTTCATTTCGATATCACTGTTTTGAGCTCAAAACAGCATCAAAATGAAACAGCCGATGAAGCTTCACACAGCCCTACTGCCTAGGGAAGTTGTAGATTCTCTATCACTGGAGGTGTTCAAGAAAATATTGGACAGTCGCTGGTCAGAGATGATCCAGGTGTAGCTATGCCTGTGTTCTACTATGGCTATTTCCCATGATTCTGCACTTTACTGGTTGCCCCCATCCCCTTTTCTGTTATGTGTCACGGTGTTTTTAAGCCTTCCAAGAGGCATTGGTTGATGGCCACAGCTAAGGCTGGGGACTTTGACTGGGGTGTACCAAATACTCCTGCTGGGACCAAAGCCAGAGGTTCCTGGCTAGCAGGTCTTACCCATTCACTTAGGGTAAAACAGATCACCATATTTGGAATCAAGAAGGAATTTTACCCCATGGTCACATTGGTACAGATTGGGGGGAGGAAGGGGGTTGCCTTCCTCTGTAGCAGGTGGCATGGCACTCTACCTGGGATCTCTTGAGCATATATTGGCAACATTTCATAGAAGCAGGATGTTGGCTGCTGTAGTTCCCCTGCTTTATCTGTGACAGGCTAGGGTGTTAGGTCTGTGTTGTGTCAGGATTGGGAGTAGTTTTATGAAAGTTTTGGGTGTGTATGGGATGGTTTGGATAGGGCTGATGCTGCCTCAGGCAGGGGGTTGAACTAGATGACCTCTGGAGGTCTCTTCCAGCCCTGCTTGCCTATGATTCTATGAAGGGCTTGAACTGCTTAGCATTTTTCAACTCAACTATCTACTTTGTAACATAATTGTACCTAGCTGCATAAAAATGGTGATACCCCAGGGTTGCTATTTGAGGCCTTGAAAATGATGGGAGCTAGTCAGTTTTGAGGCTGTTACTATCGCAGTACTGACAATGCTTTGAGCAACACTAGATAGGTACACAGTGGCCATGTCTACCTGACCAGTGGACTGCTCTGTTGTTACTGCACAGTCATTTAGTACTTGCTTAATAGGCCTGTGCGAAGAGGCTAGTATTCACTTTGGACTCGGATTTGGCCGATTTGGGGGACGGTGATTTGATTCGGTGATTTGAATCACTGTCCCAAATCGATTTGGCTGAATCACCCTAGCCAGGCACATTCCCTGCCTGCTCTCCCAGCCTGGCAATGGCTGCCCTGCCCGCCCCAGTTCCTGGCACTGAAAATAAAAGCCCCGATTCAGCGGGTGCTGCTGAGCAGGGGGGCAATCCTTGCTGTCCCCCACTGGCCCATGCTGTGTGGGGGGCTCTGCATGAGAACCCTGATCCCTCCTGCTCCCCTAGCCCTGCTCCCATGGCTGCCCCCCCAGCCCCGGCTCCAGCCCTTTAAGAAAAACAAACCCCCCTGTCTCACCATTCCTGCCTGGTAGGGGGTGATCCCTGCTGCCCCCTGCTGCCCCGCACCATGTGGGGGGCTCTGCACAAGCCCCCCAAGGCCGCTGCAGGAGCCAGTGAGTCCTCGGGTTTTGCTCAGTTTCTTTTTTCCTTAAAGGGCCAGAGCTGGGGTGG